TACTCCTCATACCTTATCAAAAAAGTTTGGGTGTAACTAAATTATATAAAATAGATACATGTAAACTTGTAAAGTGATCCTAACTCACATTGTGACAGGGGTACTTGTTATCTGGAGAAGCATCCTGATATAGAACAATGTATTATACCTAATTTTACTGTTTTCATATTTTTAAGATTTTTAATATTGATTGTGTTTTGCTTCTAAATTGGGGTCTGTGTTAATACTGTACTTCCTTCTTCCCATTCGTTCCCTTGTAAAAATAGGCTCCACTGAGGAGTGGCTACCATGTACACCTCATCACGGGCTAATACTGCACAGTTGACACCCACTGCCTGGCTTCAGTGTCCCAGGATCTTGTGTGGTAGCTTCTTCCTCCCTTTTACAGATAAAAACCCTGAGGCTCGGGGAGGTTACGTGACTTGATGAAGATAACTGGCGCAAAGCCAGGTCTTCTGACACCAGCTCACACATCCTTCCAGCACACGTGATGTCACCTTTGGGACTGAGCTTCTTTCCTTCTCCAAGGAGGCTACACCTGCTGATGCAGTCAGTCCATGCGAGCGTGTCAAAAAGCACTGGATTTCGGATCATATTTTCGCCCAGGCAGCGGCATGTGCCTCTAGCAGCATGGCTTAAGAAATGACATTTTAACTCTCTGATCTACATTTCTGAAAAACACTGTCTTCTTGTGGGGAGACATTTGGGCCATTACCTGGTTAACATTTGCAAAATGCTGCAGGAAATCCATTAGCTTGAAAGGAGTATGATTACGGTAATCACACTCAGAAACAGAAGGTGGGGTGTTAATTATTAACAAGAGATTGCCCAAAAGATACAACACAGAATTATTAACGGAGCCACTGGGGCTGTTCGGAGGGAATGAACAGAGCCCATTTAAGCCAGCTCTGGAGCATAAAAAGGCACTACTCCTGGTCTGAACACTCATGACACCCCTGTAAGAGCCCCCTGGGAAAGAACAACTTGCTCTTCTCAGTCAGTTATGATTCTCGTTCTTATTAAAATGTATCGGACCATTCTAAAGCCGACCACGAGGTGCCAGTGTCATGCTTGGTCAAGGCACCGGTATTTGTGACTCCATAAATTCAATCATTCTTTACTGAACACCCGTGGTGGGCAAGGCTCAACGCTACAGTCCTGCGGACCTGGGGAGGAACAAGAGGCAGAGCTGACCCTAGGACTACAATCATTCACTGGGGAGGATCAAGATGACACTCCGATCCCATACTGAAAGCCAGAATGGACCTCGCTGAAGACCTGGGCAGCATCAAGAAGAGAAGAAACAGGACCTGGAGAGCTGGTTGGGGGTCAGGAGCAAAATTAACTAACATTTCCTGAGCATCTTCCATGTGCCAAGCACTATGCAAAGTGTTCGATGCTACACAATTGAATCTTTGTAGCACACCAATGCTATGGGTGGGATTATTGCGTTCATTTCACTGATCAGCAAACTGAGGTTTGCAGGCTGCCTTACCCAAGGTTATACCAGTAAGTGGCAAAGCCAGATTCACAACGAGGAGGGCTTGACTCCAAGCCCCATCTTCCCGATTTCTCTGCTCTACCTCTGAAAAAGAAGGACACTTGGAATCAGCCCAGGGAATGGTGGAAAGAAACAAGCAAATGGAGGGTGAAGCATTCCAGGTAGGAGGAATTTAGGAAGAGCCAAGGGAAATCGTAAGTTGGTGTCCATTATGAAGAATCTTATATGTCAGGCTTGGGAGTCTGCTTAACCTGATAATTTAAAGGGGCCTTTGCGATATCAAACCATCTGTCTTCAGTAAACTTGGATGCACTGAGTTTCTCTAGAACCCAAGGTTTTTCTAAGAGTGTTTAACACATAAATAAAAACAGGAACAAAAGACTTATTCTGCTATGGTTATACGAAAAGAATGTAAATTCAGTAACATAAATACACTGATAATCAACCCTAAGTCATTTTATTTGTCATCAACAGGCTAAAACAAAAATGTTACAAAAGGACAAAGGCAAACACGTACGACCAAGAGTGAGCAATAACCATCCCAGGCTTTCCAAAGCATACCACTTTACATACCGATAAGCATTTCATTTTTATTTTAAAGAGCATTTTTGCATGTTTTCTATGATTACAAAAGTAATACATGCTTATGGCAGAAAACTTGGAAAATGCAGAAAGGCATAAATACGTATTTGCCTTATTTCTAGCACTATCTGCAAGCTGTCCCACACAGCTACTGTTTCTCTCTTTGTAAAACGCATTTGTGCTTTTTGTAGCTCAACTCTATGGGCTGGAATCCCACTGGACTCTGTTCGCAGTGAGCACCAGTACCGATTACCTCTTAGATTTTCAACGTCCTCCTTCGTCTTTCTCCCCTTTCTCCTTCCCTCTAAGAAAGGCCCATCGGGTGGGCAACGGGAAAGCAGGGACCAAGTTTTATGCGGATCTCTACCCTGAGCACTTAGCGTGGTAGCACCTGAACATTCCTTTTTCTTTCTTTAATTCACTCAACTGGTGCGTATCTAGAGTTTAAAAGTAAGAAATGTCAAAGCCTTACCTTTATATTAGCAAATTAACAGGCATCTTATGGGGAAAGGGGTACTTAAAGTACACAAGCATAAAAGTCACCTGCAGATTGGTTATGAGGACAGAAATGATGGCCCTCATTTGACAAAATGGGCTTCTCCCAAGGAGGAGTAGCTTCAGATGACTTCCTGACTTTTTTCTCCCCAATCCACATTTATTTACTAAGCACCTACTGAGTACCTTTGAGGTCATGTGACAGATACAAAGCTATACAAGATAAGATCCTTCCTTCAGCAGCTTCCCTCGAACGGGGGTGGGGGGTGTGGGGGGGAAGACACGTAGGTTAAAATCTTGCAAATGAGATAAAACATGTTGAGTGGCATAAGACTGCTAGAATGTTCTGGGAATTCAGAGATGTGAGCTCTTTCCTGATTGAGGGGATCCCTTAGAGAAGGGATAAGATATACACACCTGAAATGTGTGTCTGGGTATGCCTGTGAGTATGCCTGGCTGGGCGGGAGGGAATGCAAAGCAAAAGGAACAGACTGAGCAAAGGCAAAGGAGCATAAGAGACCAAGAAGTGTTTAAAGAAGAGAGAGGAGCCAAGCTTGGCAAAAGCAAAAAGAGTAACAGAAGAAAAAGCTGGAAAGGAAGAGTGTGAGCCCATGGCTGAGAGCCCAGAGTAGCAAACTAGTTTGGACTCTGTTCCCGCTACAATTTGCAACTATTTAGTCATTCAGCAAATGTTTCTGGATCATCTGCTATGCGCTGGGTGCTGTGATACACCCAGTGAGATACAAAAAGAAAACAAGGCAGGGCTTGTGGTCCAAAAGCAAGGCATCCCCTGCTCTCACCACGGAATTCCATCATAGTATAACTTTCTAGAAATAAAGTTTAAACTCAAGGAGGACTTATTAAGAGCAAAACAAAACTGACCAAATAACAAAATTAATGATAAGGAACCTCTTTTCGTTACTTATTGCTGAGTGACAAACTATCCCAGAAGTTAGTGATTTAAAACAACAATCATTTGATTAACTTGCTTACAATTTTGCAATTTGGGAGGGGCTTCATGGAGACAGCTGGTGTCAGCTGTGTCGCTTGTGCAGCCAGGGTCTGGCTAGAACGGCCAACTTGGGTCACGTGTCTGGACCTCAGACTTCATTGTGGACTGGGCTCCTCAGCTCTCCTCCACTTGGCATTCCATGCAGTTAGCTTGGTCTTCCCTCCAAAATGGTGGTCTCAGACAGTCTTCTTTGTTCCTGGTAATCTGGCTTCTTACACGGCGGCTGGCTTCACCTGAAGCACAAAACAGGAAGCTGCCAGGGCTCTTAAAGAGTAGCCTACAATTGGCATAGTGGTATTTTCAGCACATTCTCATGGTTAACGCAGGTCACAAAGCCAGCCCAGAGGCAATGGGAGAGGTCTACACAAGGGCATGGATATCAGGAGGCATGATTTACTGGAGGCCACCCAAGTAACAGTCTACCACAAATCTTAAAGTCAACTCAATAGCATCTTCCACAATTTTATTCAACTAAGGGGCATGAAGTACATAGATGTTTCTACTCGAGAGCACATAACCTGCCTGCCCCACTCCACCTCCGCATTTTTCGAATGCTGGTAAAATGCAATTGTTTCTCAGGCCACTCACTGATCCCTTAATAGAACTGCCTCAGATTCTAAAGGGACCTTGCAGAAGAGTTCCAAACAGGCCAACATCTGGGAAGGGGGAGAGGGCTCTCAGCTCAGAACCATCCCACCTGCTCCAGAGCCTGGGTCACTCCCCAGGGCCCCTGGGTCATGTACCCCAGCTTCAAAATAGGAAGAAAGAAAACCCATTCATGCCTGGTTCCTGCTCCCCCTTCTGCCATCTGCCACATTCTTGTCTCCGCTAGGAGACAACCCCCTCATCTCTGTTACACAGTCCCATCTCTGGAGAGCTAGAGCAGAAGATGGAGTTCCCAGTTTTCAGAACGACATGAAGATCTCTCTGCAGCATTTATGACCCTCTCGTGTTTTCCATTTTCCTAACTGGACACAGTCGTCCTGTATGACCTGAATGCCAAGGTTGGTGATAATATCAGAATTTCTATAGGAGAAGCTTGGGAGGCAAACTGGTTAGAGGGAAGTTGGAAAGGACTGAGGTTTTTCTTGAAATTTTTTTTAAAAGATTTTATTTATTTATTTGACAGAGAGAGGGAACACAAGCAGGGGGAGAGGGAGAGGGAGAAGCAGGCCTCCCGCTGAACAGGGAGCCCGACGTGGGACTCGATCCCAGGACCCTGGGATCATGACCTGAGCCGAAGGCAGATGCTTAATGACTGAGCCACCCATGCGCGCTTTCTTGAAATTTTTTACATGATCCATGCGACCCCTCATAGAAATAGAATTGATCACCAAAAAATTGATATAATTAGCCAAGTGGTGACAAGTAAAAATATATACTTAGATCACAAATTAAATTAATAAAAATGTGTATTTAGTACATATAAAAGCAAAAAGTAATTGAGTTGAATAGAGCAGAAGCTGAGGGAGTTTTTAATTTTTTTTTTTTTTTTTTATGTTTCTAGCTATCTGTCAATTACTCCACATTGAAGCAGAATCACATGGTGATTGAATATAGGCTCCAGAAGTCAGACTGCCTGGGCTGGAATTCCGGCTCCATCACTCACCAGGTCATCTGGGGCAAGCTAGTTAATTTCCCTGTGCCTTAGTTTTCTCACCTGGAAAATGAGGATAATAATAGTATCTTTCTTATAGGGTTGTTGTAAGTATTAAATAATACTTGCAAAGCGCTTAGTGTCCAATAAACATTTTCCATAAATGTTACTTATTATTCCATACATTACTATTACCCTGAGGTTTTTCAGCACATGCTTTACAGATTTTTCTTTCTCTTTATTAATTTGTGTTTGGAATGATCTTGTAGGCAATGACTGTTGAAGATTATGAGACGCTAAAGATACTCTCCAAACCCCCTTCTTGGTCCCTTGGCCAATTTTAAATAGGTCCTGCCAATAAAAGGTATCCATAACAAATTGCAAAGTATCAATGGCAGATTTAAAAAAAAAAAAAAACATAACAACTTAAGGTAATATTCTCCTGAACCTCAGAAATTAAAAATAAAATAAAAAAAAAGGTAACAGATGAACTTAAGGAAAAAGTTGAGCAATAAGTACTGAATCTACATATACTTTCAATGTTTTAAACAAAGCATGTACCTTCTCATCAAATTTGTATGGGGAGGAAAAGAGATACATAAAAGCAATTTAGAATTTACTTTGGATAGAATCATACAATTCCATGCAATTGCCATTAATTGTTCTCCCAGCATCCCATTTTCTATTACAATCCCAAGAGGCAAGCAGAAGAATCCGAGGAGTTAAAAGAGGGGGGATATCAGCCCCCCAGCAAGGTGCTCACTGGAACAATTTCCCTGCTGCTCTGTGTTTACAGAATCTTATTTGCATAGAGGAACTGCAGGAGCTCTGGATGATAGTGGCTCTGAAAGAAATCAGCAAAAGCGCACGTGAGGGACAGGTTCAACACACCTCCTTGACTCTATTTCGAGTAGACAGTTGTCAAAGGCAGAGCGTGAGGACGATCAATCTTCAGATTCTCAGAGGTGAAGATCATGGCCTGCGTTCATCTAATGATCTACACTGGAAGTGCCAATAGATTTTGTGCATAATCCTCCGGGCGTTTTGTCATTTACATTGCATGATGGGTCAGTTACAATCGAAACACAATTGGCCTGAGGCATTTTATGGGGAATAACTCCCTCATGTGGCTGGCCACCTTCTGGGTTGTCACCAGGAGGGCAGGGACCTCTGGGAGAATTCTCTACACCCTCTCTCACTCACCAGCTGCCGGCAGAGTTTAGGGTTCCTTTGATCTTCTTCAGTCTGGAAGCTGTTTTCCTTTCTTTCTTTCAGATATGGAGAACAGGCTCGAAATGTTGTTTTGCAAGCCTGAGAAAAATAATATTACCATCTTATTGTCAAAAACATTAGAGAGTTCTAGAATCCAAGCAAGGAAGAGCACTGCACCCAATCTGTGGCCTCGGGGGCCCTGAGGGTATGAAAGTAACTTCCAGAAAGTTTGAAGATGTCAACCTTAAAGGATTTTGCTTCTAAAATGGCCAGGTCTATAAGTTGGGGCTGGTAGGGAGAGCATCACTTTATAGCTTACCACTGGTTATTGTCCCATCAGAAGTAGTTCTGAATTCCTAAATTCCCAAATTCTCTCTGTCTCTGTCTCCCTCTTGTGTGCACTAATTTAAAAAAGACAAGTGGTTTGGTGGAACCTCTTGCTCCCAGTGGTTTTGAAAGCCTGACATTGATCCAACTCTGTTAGGACATGTTTTCTCTGAGAATAAAACAAAAGCTCTGTAGGGGATTGAGAAGCCAGGGGTGGGAAATCTACACAGTGACAGAGGCTAACTGGCATGAGTTCATGTCCTCATTATGTGGGCTACTGCCCCACAGATTAAACCCATGCCTCTCTGGCCCCCACACTCCAGTAACCCGAATTTATCTACCATTGGCAGGCACTGATCGGGCAGGTGGGGCAGGAGCAAATGGAAAATAGCACTCTTGCTCGGAGAGAGATGACACAGCGGGCAGGCACCTTTCCAAGGATTCCTGTGGATACACTGCTCAGCGTCCCTAACGGAAGCGGCAGGAACAGAGGGTCTAGGGGCTTAGGGCAACAGGGCACCCCCTTTAGGAATGGCCCAGAGCTCTCATGCAATCGGTGGGAGAGTCACAGACTTACCTTGGCAACCTGGGGATTTCTGTCCTGTAAATGTATCAGGAGGGAATCTTGAGTCTGCTTGACCTGACTGGTGAAAAATGTCTTCCATTTCCGCCCGGCATAGGCCGCCAGTTGCCCAAACAAGACGAAGGCTGAATATCTCAGGTTGTCATTCTCCTGTGGGTCCCCGATGAACAAAACAACAAAACCCAGGTCGTTACCAAAAGGCCACTGCATCAGAGAACATCACAGTCATCGTTCTTTGCTGCATGGTAGGGGGTGGGTCACCAGATCCAGTCTAAAGCCCTTAGCTGGCTCAGTCTTCAACAACCATCTTCTTCAGAGGACAAGACAATTAGACAGGGGATCACTGTGCTAATCCCAGCTTCGCAGCTCTGTTCTTTATTATTCAATGTCTTGGAGATAGAATATGTTTGTATGGTTCAAAATTCAAAATAACCAAATCGCTTTATTAACAAAAGTAAGTCTCCTTCCTACCCCTTTCTGCCTGCCACTCAATTTCCCTCCCATGAATGAACAAAGTTACACATATTGTGTGTATCCCTCCAAAAAAATTAAGACAAAAGAGAATAAAAGATGTATTACATAGTCCTTTCTCACATTTTTACACAAATGGAAGCACACCATCCCACTGTTATGTACTTTGATTTTTCACCAATCTATCTGGGAGCTCTTTCCATGTCACTACCTAAAGGAATTTGGGGTGGCTGCACTGTAATTCATTCGACCCATCTCCTGTTGATTATTCCCAGTGTTTCTACAAGGGCACTCTTCACTTCTTGTCTGAGTTTCTCCTTCTGTAGTAGAAATAACAATTGTTTCTTCCCTGACACCCTGCGAACTCTTCCTGCTTTTAGTATGGTTGGCTGATTTGTCTCTGAATGTGTCTCATTGGGGTCAGTCCTTTCTTGTTCTCCAAGCTGAGAGGTCTGGTCCAGGTATCTCCCTTTCCTGATGAGGACACCAAGGCTCAGGGCATTTCAGTGACTTGCAGGAGTCACACTGTCAGGTGACCATGAACCAGGGTAGGACCCAGTCCCCTGACTGTTGGTGCAGGGATTTTATATCAGTGTTTCCTGGTCCCCTGAAATCTCCAGGCAAACCAGAAGGAACAGAGCTGGGCTGGGCCTCTTCAGGGGCAAGGAGCACCTAGAACTGGGGGGTCACAGACACTCAGCAAGACCAAAGACCACTGATTGTTTCATGAAGTATTGAAAAATAATTTTTAGCACATGGGACATTTACACAAATTGCTTTATTGTTGCACTTTCTTCACTGTTCTACCAATGTGTGTGCGTATCCATGCGTGCACGCGTGTGCGCGTGTGTGTGTGTAATTCAATTCAGTGGTACCCTACTGCTATAAGAGGTACAAGACACATAAAATGGGTGCCTGGCCTGCTAGGGGCCTGACAACCATCTGACAGGGAACACAGCATATGACAGGCAGTCAAGGGTGCTATACTAGATACACACCATCAGGAAACAACTCTCCACGACTATTTCCAGGTTACTATATACAACCAGGGCTTTCTGGTCAAAAATTACAGTCCATCTGGGTACAAAAAAGTGATTGCATGGCAAACAAGTCCTGGAAATTAAGATAGCACCTGCAGAGAGATCTAGACATCTTCCTGGAGATATTTGTTTATATTCCAGGGAGGTAAAGTAGAGACCAGAGATGACTGGTTTGCATTCCAGGGCAAAGGTCTCTCAGTCTCTCTGAGTGCGAGGAGAGGCAAATGGGCCAGAAGCCCTATGTAAACTCCAAGTTTCATAATTTCAAGATTTCTTTTCCTCTCGTGTGGCTCAGGTCCAGCTGGGGAATTCGGTGTGGGGAACTCACGCAAGGTGCTTTGTGAGTAAATAAAAGGTCTGTTTCCTGTTCTACAGGTATTATCTCTCTGTTAGAGGGTGTGTGTATATGTGTGTGTGTGTGTGTGTGTGTGTGTAACTGCAGCAGGCTAGCTGGTTAGCTTGGAAGGAAGGTATCTCAGAGTCCCCACAGTTTCAGAGCAAACAACGTATCGGTGCACTTTTTACTTAGCCTGCCTTGTCACGTGGCAGTGAGGAGCACAGGTCCTATAGTCAGAAAGCCTGGGTTCATATCTGCTTACAGGCTCTGTGAATCTCGGGCAAGTCCCTTAACCTTTCTGTGCCTTGGTTTCCTCCTTTATAAAGTGAAGATAATAATAGTGCCTACCTCACAGGGTTATTGAGAAGATTCTATGAGGTAACCCATGAAAACTGCCTAGCACCGTGCCTGGCTCGCTAAATGCTAAGTACTGTTATTGTCACATTCATAAGAAAGTATTGAATACATGAGGGCACTGTTATCATCATCTTCACTATCATCTTCATCACCATCTTCATCATCAGTGTATATATATTCACTTCTCTATAACAACAAAAACTCCTCCTTCTTTATATGTCTTCCATAAACCCCAGTACGACACTAGCCTCTCAATGATTTCTTTTTTTTTTTTTAAAGATTTTATTTATTTACTTGAGAGAGAGAGAGAGAGAGAGAGAGAGCAGGGTCAGAGGGAGAAGCAGACTCCCCGCTGAGCAGGGAGTCCGATGTGGGACTCGATCCCGGGACTCCAGGATCATGACCTGAGCCGAAGGCAGTCGCTTAACCAACTGAGCCACCCAGGCGCCCTCAATGATTTCTTAATAAATAAGTGAATAATACAGACCATGTTCTCTGAGCCACACACCACCCAGGGCTCACATTTCTCATCCCACTTCAACTTTAATAACCCAGAATTCTTCTGAATTATCTCACTTACGTCATCTAACAAAGTCCTGGTCTGAAGAGTGATGTCTACGAAGAAAGAGCCCAGACTTTTCCCCTGGATCTTGCCCAAGATGATGGTCAGAGTCTTCATGCTCTCGTGGATGACTTCAGCACTCACAGGGTCGTACAGGCCATGCACCAGCAGATCTAGGACAATTTTCTTGTACTTTCTCACCTGTTAACACAGTTTGAAAAGCATGAGTAGTCCAGAAATTGTTCCCTGTGCGTTGAAGAGCAATCCCACTTCTAATAGTTCAATAACCTAGGACTTGGACTGAGATCGTGGCAGCAACGAATCTCATTAAAATAACAAATGCTTCCATTAACCTGACCCAAGAGCCAGCTCAGTCTTGGAAGAAAAACAGAAAGAGCAATCTGGAGCTTGGTCTATGAGCAGATGAGGCCAGAAGGGCACGTCAAGGAGTGTGGTGGGCTGGATGATCTAGACATCTGGGGCATAGCAGATGCTTTTATCAGGGATGAGATGAAATGGTCACTGAAGTCAACAGATGCTGAAAGCAGAGGTGGGGAAAACATCTTTTACTAAACAGGCATAAAGTATTCAAAAATCAATAAATTCACCCAAGAGGGTGATGTCCAGGTGTGTGTTAATCCCATCTGCAGCTCTGTTCCCCAAGGCTGATAATACTGAGGTATGATGACCCCCAAATAACTCCAAATGAGTCATGCCCTTGTACAGTCTCCTTCTATTGAGCGTGGAAAGAACCAGTGACTTTGCTTCTAGTCTCTAGAATTTGACGACAGTGATGGGATATCATTCCCATGGTTACATTACATTACGTAAGAGTCTGCTTGAGCAGACATGAGTGGTAGAGGCTCTCCTGTTGGCCTTGAAGAAGGAAGTTCACATGCTCTAAGAGAACAGCCTCAAGGAGCGGAGCTGGCCAGTCAGCTAGAGAGCAGGGACCTCGGTCCTACAACTGGAAGGAGCTGTGTTCTTCCAATGGCCACAGAAGCTTAGAAGAGGAGCCCAGGCTTCAGAAAGGAATGCAGTCTGGCCCACACCTTGATGGTAGCCTTGTGAGATCCTGAGCAGAGGACCCGACTACACCGTACCTAAACCCCTAACCCAAGGAAACCGCAAGAGGATGAATGCTAGGTCTGTGGTGATCTGTCACACAGCAACAGATAACTGGTACATGAAGCGCTGTCTCCCAGTCTGAGACTGCAGGCCATGAGGGCTGGCCAGGTGCCACTTTCCTCTCCTACCTTGTCTGGCGTCTCACAGGCCATGGTTCCCAGGCCTCTCATTGCCATGTGACGCTTTTTAGCATTGGGGTCCAGGGCTCTTTCTGCCAAGATGGAGAACACATTCTTCAGAGACTCCCGCTTCTGAAACCTCAGTGTCCAAGAGACCTGGGTAGTAAGTCAAAAATGTATTGATTTGGGGGCACCTGGGTGGCTCAGATGATTAAGCATCTGCCTTTGGCTCAGGTCATGATCCCAGGGTCCTGGGATCGAGTCCTGCATCAGGCTCCCTGCTCCGCGGGGAGCCTGCTTCTCCCTCTGCCTCTCTCTCTCTCTGTCTTTTATGAATAAATAAATAAAATCTTTAAAAATACATACTGATTTGGGGAGCGTTCGGAGTCATACCCATCCCAACCCCAATCCCTCCCTCTAAAGAAAATCCTGTGTGGCCTGCTCAACTTAGCCCATCTTTCTCCACCTAAAGACACCTGATTTTTGCTGGAAATACATTAGTTTGATGTACATCATGAAGAAAATGGATGGAAGAGGAAAGAGAAACAAATAATGCAGGGCTGGTGTTGAGGTAGGTTGGGGGAAATGTGGGGACAGGTACTCTAGGATCACTGAGGGTGGGCTAGAACTCAGAAGAAAGGGGGCTTCGGGGCACCTGGGCGGCTCAGTCAGTTAAGTGTCTGTCTTGGGCTCAGGTCATGATGCTCAGGTCCTGGGATCGAGCCCTGCATTGGGTTCCCCACCCACTGCTTGTGCTCTTTCACACACACTCTCTCTCTCTCTCTCTGTCAAATAAATAAATTAAATCATTTAAAAAAAAAGAAAGAAAGGGGGCTTTAGACAGTTGATGTGAGCTGAGACCAGGGATCCTTCACAGACAAGAAATGCTTGGCTGCTTCCATCTCAAAGAAAAGCATTTCCCCAACTCTTCTTACTCCTCCAGCTCTTCCCCACTTTTCTGTTATACCTTGTAGCTAAACACCTTAAAAGATGTGTCTATACTTGTTTTCTCCAGTTTGTCTCTCCATTATCTCTTGAACCTTCTGCAGTCAGGTTGAGGTGGCTAAATCCAAGGGTTAATTCTCAGTACTTGTTTTCATCAGCCTCTCAACAGCATTTGACCCAACTAGCAAACCACATGTACAAACATCTCAGGGCACCTAAAGGATGTCCCACCCCAGAATGCATACATCTGAGCAACTAAGATTAGGAAAAGAAACGCATAAGTAATGCAAATTGGGAAACCCTATGTGGCCAATGAAGGAAGCTACTTCAGGGACGGAACTCTCACTGCAGGGCAAGGGGCGGGTTACCTCTGTCGTGAGCCTATGAGACCAGGCAGGCCCCAGTGTTCTGTGCTTCACACGACACAGCAACATGTGCCGACATCAGAACCAAGACAATGCAGGATCCAGACAAGATCCAGGAAAAAAACCACCTCCTCACCATCCTGGGGAGCGAGGGGCTGCAGACTAGACCCACAGTCCTATTCGGAATTTGGATGATCACCAGGTCTCATCTTTATTTCTCAGTATGCGTTGCAGTTCATTCTATACCTTTATGATTAAGTTAGCAGCAAGTTAAATTCCTCCCATCTTATCTTGCATTTGGTCCGTGTTATAAGAAGTGTCATTAAGCTTTTTTCAGAAGCACCTCAGCCGAGCCACCACAACTAATGCAGACCAGACACTGTTACATGTGGTTGTTGGGAGGGACCTCTGTTTATAATATTTTGTGACAGACCTTGGAAAAGAAGGACATCATTGACGTCCTTTTCTTCTTGGGCTGGGTGGTGGGGACCAGCAGGGGCTGGCCCAGGATTCCTCTCTGTGTTTGATCCATGGAACTAAAAGAAAACAGAATCATCACGTGAGCCACAAACCCTCTGCCAAGCCTTGTCACAACAAGCAGTGTCACACAAAACACTATGCCAGGGTAAGAACATAAAGAAGCAACATCCCAGAGGCCTGTCCTTTAGGAGCCTGTCCCGTTGGTGAGGAGATGGAACAGTCCCATCAAAAGATAAAGAGTGGGGGGTGGGGGGGGGGGGGGGATGGGGTGGCTGGGTGATAGACATTGGGGAGGGTATGTGCTATGGTGAGTGTGTGAATTGTGCAAGACTGTTGAATCACAGATCTGTACCTCTGAAACAAATAATGCAGTACATATTAAGAAAAAAAAAAAGAAGAAGAAGATAGCAGGAGGGGAAGAATGAAGGGGGGGAAATCGGAGGGGGAGACGAACCATGAGAGACGATGGATTCTGAAAAACAGAGGGTTCTGGAGGGGAGGGGGGTGGGGGGATGGGTTAGCCTGGTGATGGGTATTAAAGAGGGCACGTTCTGCGTGGAGCACTGGATGTTATGCACAAACAATGAATCATGGAACACTATATCCAAAACTAATGATGTAATATATGGTGATTAACATAACAATACAAAATTTAAAAAAAGATAAAGAGCAGGAAGAAATGCAGCAGGGGCATCCAGACGGTCTGTCCCATGGTTCCCATTCCATCCAAGAGCCTTCTTGTACCAGAATCACCAAAGAAATGAAATAAAGATTCTGGGCCCCACCTACACAGATTCTCATGAGTTAAAGTAAAATGTTGCCTGAAACTCTGTGTTTTTAAAAGATGCCCAGGAATGTAAATTGGTATGGCATTTTAGAGGGGATCTTGATGTCATCTCCTCTAATTGTGAAATGCACATATCTTTCAGCCATTCTTGCATCCCACAGATACACTGGTACATCATCTACTCAAAGACATACGGATAGGATAGGCCCTACCACTTTGTAATGAACAATCTAATGTCCTTTACTATTTGTAACTAGTCATTTAATATAAATAAGTTAGACCTATCTATTATAACTACACAACTACAGATGGCCACAGTGTTGTAATTAAAAAGAATATTGGGCAAAAAAAAAAAACACTAAAAAATACTTAAAAAAAAAGAAAAATCTATATAGATAATATATGTTAATAAACATAATTTTTTGGAAGGAAAAAAAAGAATATTGGGCAGATCTACCTATGCTAAAATGATCTCCAAAACATGCTGTTGAGTGAAAAGTGAAGATTAGTATGCTGTTAGTATGAGAAAGGGAAATATATATGTACATATATGCTTGCACATGCATAGAACAGGGAAGAATACCCAAGAAATTTTAACAAAAACTGCCTGTGGGGTAGAAATCTGAGCAACCAGGGTAAGAAGAACACTTACTTTTTCATACTTTTTTTTATATCTACAGTTTTGTAATTTCACCACATGTATATATTATTTAAAATATATATTATAAATAAATATAGCTCACAAAGAATTTCTGATCTACAGCCCGAGTTGAGGTACACTAGTATAAACTAGTATAAACGAGCCTGAACTAGGAGAAGTCTGAACTAGGATAATAGAATCCATTGCCAGATCCAAAGTCATGAAGACTTCCCCTATGTTTTCTTCCAAGATTTTTTACAGTTTTAGCTCTTATATTTAGACTGTTGATCCATTTTGAGTACATTTTTGAATGTGGTACATGGTAGGAGTCGAACTTCATCAGAACTATTGACTTTTGTTTTGGTTAAAAAAAATTTAGTAGGAGAAATGATAGGCAAGGAGCTGCATGGGTTCCCTGTCCTAGCCACAGTAAAGTCACCTGAGGAACTTTCCATCTCCTGATGCCCTGGCCGTGCCTGAGACTAAGTCTATCACCATCTCTGGAGGTGAGCCCTGGCATCAAGTCATTTTAAAGCTCACCCAGGGGGCGCCTGGGTGGCTCAGTCGTTAAGCATCTGCCTTGGGCTCAGGTCATGATCCCAGGGTCATAGGGCTCCCTGCTCGGCGGGAAGCCTGCTTCTCTCTCCCACTCTCCCTGCTTGTGTTCCCTCTCTCTGTCAAATAAATGAATTAAAAAAAAAAATCTTTAAAAAAAAAAAAAAGCTCACCCAGTAATTCCAATGGGCAGTCACTGAACTACGGTGAGTACTGACCAGTCACCTCGGTTTGCCCTGGAATACGGTGACTTATAATAAATACATACTTGGTCTTTGTCCCTGTTCCTGGCACAGCGCTCCTAAACCCATTAGAATTTCCCAAGTGATTACAGTGATCAAGGCGTCTTTTGTCATGTTAATGAGGCGACTTTAGAAAGCCCTTTCTCACTAAAGGATGAAGCTGGTTGCCAGGGGAATGAGGGTTGGAAACTTCAGTCCCCTCCCCTCCTGTTGGGAGGCCAGAGGGGCTGGAGACGAAGTTCAACAACCAATGGTCAATGATTGAATCAATTGTGCCTAGGTAAAATGAAGCCTCGACAAAACCCCAAAAGGAGGGGGTTCAGAGAGCTTCTGGGTTGTTGAACAGGTGGAGATCTGGGGAGATTTGTACATTCAGGGCATAGCAGCTCTATGCCCTTTCCCCATATGTCACCCTATGCATCTCCCATCTGGCTTTTCCTGAGTTATATCCTTTTATAATAAACTGGTGACTCAGTAAGTAAAATGTTTCTCTGATTTCTGTGAGCCGTTCTGGCAAATTTCTCAAACCCAAGGAGGGGGCTTCGGGAACATCCAGTCTATAGCTGGTGGGTGACAACCCAGACTTGCTACTGACATCTAAAGGAAAGGGAGTGGCGACTGCCTTGTAGGTCGGAGCCCCTAACCTGTGGATCTGACACTATCTCTAAGAAGATAGTGTCAAAACTGAACTGAATTATGGGACATCCAGTGGGTATCTGCTGAGAATTGGAGACTTGATTGGTGGTGTGGGAAAAACACACACTGGAGCCTGGACCTTAGGGGTTTCCTGGGACGTGGGATTTTGAATGCTAAGACCAGGGACATCCCAGGCAAACCTGGACATGTTGGCCACCCTACTTGCTGTACTTGAATTGCAAACTTATTTAAACCCAGGTGGCTGACACAACCCAGCTCTGACTCGGTTTGACCTGGAGGTGCCCTGGGATTTGGTTTCTCCACTGTCTCACCTCTCCACCCCTGCTGGTTTCCATATGCTCTCTTGGTCAGAAGACACTGGAGAGATCCATGGAAACACCTCTTCATCTCCAGCCCCTCGGCTCTATTTCTACTTCATCTCTGGCCAGCAGAGCTCCCCTCACTACTGCAATGGGGATCTCAAATAAAAGCCCAGAAAAAAATCACCCCCACCGATTAGCAATATTTTCTTTGTTTGAATAAAGGCATTCCATCAGTTTTACATTCCATTAAGCCAGTGGTTCTCACACTGCACGTGTGCTAGAATCACCCCGGGGACTTGTTATAGCACAGACTCCCAGCCCTGATCCCCAGAGTTTCTGATTCTGTACGTCTGAAGCAGGGCCCCAGATCCACACCGGGGTGCTGCTGGTCTGGGGACCACACTTAGAAAACCACTGCATTAAGGGAAAGAAACCACGCTATTACTATGCCGGTCTTCTCCAGAAGGGATTTTAAAATTCACACTGAGGCCAAACATGCTTGGCTGTTTCATTTGGGGGTTTTCTGCACACAGCCTTCTGTTTCAGTAGAACCTGCCACTCATTGGGTTGAATGCTCCTGATCAGAGTTGATGAGCACCTGGCTGTGGGTAGGGGAGCTTAAAAGAAGCAAAGTTGGTCAAGCTGGGGGCTGCTTACTAAGGAGGCACAAGCCTCATTATAAAACAGCTTGTGTCTCTGTTCTGAGACATGACAATCACATCAGAGGCTTCTCTCCATGGAGAAGGAAAGCAAAGCTGGTTCCCCGTTCATTATGCTGGACTTCTCTTGTAGGATTAGCATAGCAGGTAAGGGCTTCAGCCATCCAAAACATCTGCTCCAGGCTTCAGAAGCCAAGCATCCAGCCCTGTCACTTCTTTAAAGGCATGTGGAAAGTTTAAGGTCATGGAAGGCTCTCAGGCAGTGCTAAGTCCATGAGGGTTGAGTGCTCTGCACGGTAGATTCAGAATGTGGTTAGGAACCTGCCCAGGGCTCCCCCTCTAGCTCACCACCTCTGTTGGAAGTGCTTCCTACCACCCTACGTCCTCAGTACCAGATGGAAACTAGGATCTAGTTCAATTGTACAGCTTGTCAGGGCTCATGTTCATTTCTGGCGTAGGAAAAACAAAGCATTTCCCACAGCACTGGCGGGGCCCCCGACATTAGAATCCCCTGCAGGACTCGTCATAAACCCCTACCCCATCGTTACTGGGTCAGAATCGCAGAGCGCACAGGGCCTGAGCCCAGCATTTTTTTTTTTTTTTTTTTTTACTGCCTCTCCAGTGGAACTTAAGTAACTCCAGAACTGGCGTACTGCACACTTCGGGAGAGGCCCCAGAAGTCAGAGGAGCAGCTGGGGCCAAGCGGGTAAGAGAGGAGAGAATCTTTGCAGAGGACATGGTATTGGCAACATATGTTCGTGAAGCACCTGGAATTTCTTTCTCGATAAAAATCACATTGAGCTGCACAGGCTATGATTTGTACACTCTTCTTGGATCCTATTCTTAAATAAAAAGTTTCCTTAAAAGAGGAAACACATAAAAGTTACTTAGGGGTCCCACAGCCCCTCACCTGGAGCTCTGTGGCTCTTGAGCTTACAGCTCCCACTACCCACGGGCCCTCCTTCCTGCCCATGGTGTCCTCCTTCCTTCTCTTTTCCAAAACTTAAGTCCTTTAGACCCAATCCAATCAAACAAAAGGACAGTTTCCATCTGTTGCCGTGCAGGATCTCAGAGAGGAGCATTTTAAACACAATCTATGGATTCAAAGATTTCTTAGGTGTCCTAACCCCAGCTGCAAGCCCACTCACCCCCACACTTTGCTTTGAGGGACTAGGTTTTTCTGGCGGGTTGATCAGGTTATCCCAGGTGCCCAGGCCGGTGTGACTGAGTCTGGGAGGCCACCTGGCCACTCTGAAGCCAAAGGCATGGCTCTGCTTATAGTTTCAATCATTCCTGTGTACATTCTTCATCATGTTCTGCTTCCTCTGGGAAGTCCTTCCTGGGTGTGCTAACAGTGCCTTGTCCCCTGGTTTTCACCATTTCTGAGAACCTGGAGCTTGTCTTCATCACCATATTGTGATTCTACCTGGTCTTCCTGAACAGACATGGATTTAGGGTGACCTAGAAAACTGCTTTGTGCTTTAGGCCAACTCCCAAATACCTCTGTCAATTTAAATTCCTCTGACTGAAAATATTAGGTTTAGGGTCAATAATCCTTTTACTTAGTGAAGCCAAAAGGTATATTATGAAGGCCAAAATTACAAAACACTTTGATCATTTCTGTAAAACAAGGGGAAGAAACTGTTAGATTTCTTTTTTTGGCGGGGGGGAGAGGGAGAGAAAGAATCTCCAGCATGCTCCATGCCTAGCATGGAGCCTGACGCAGGGCTCGATCCCAGGACCCTGAGATCATGACCTGAGCTGAAATCAAGAGTCATCTGCTTAACCGACTGAGCCACCCAGGTGCCCCAAAACTGTTAGATTTCTAAAAACCCTCCCAACACTGAACTTATTAATCATCATAATAATATTAATAGCTACCAAGTATTGGGCACCGTGTATGCTAGGTACCATATTTAGCACTTTGTACACACGGCAGGAGAAGCTGTTTCAGCTAAGCTCTGCTGAGCCAACTTGCCAGGGGAACTGTACTCTCCAGGCCCTCCGTGAACTGCACCAACTGGTGCGTGTGGCTGGTGGTGCCCACGCCTCTCTTCTCCTTTTATGCGAACCGAGAACCAGTTCCTGACACCTGTACTTGTTATCGTGGCATTTAAACAGTCTAGAAATTGATGAAAAATGAATATCCCAAGAAAGGAAGTCATTTCTATGAAGGCAAAATGGGATGTTTTGGAAAGATCCAACAATGGGAAGCTGCTAAAAACTTGCTGTCTACTTAGAAACAGTGTGGACAGTACACGTTTGGAAAGAGTCTTCATGGAACGATAACTGGAATCTGAATGGCTGCCCAGAAGTGACTTTATATAGTTCTCCCCAGGGGCCTTTCAGCTCTCATTCCACTGAAAGAAACCAAAACCAGAACTCACAGATGATGTGTGTGCCTCATGTAAGACACCTCAAGATCCACCAGCTTGTGGATCCATATTAAAAAAAAAAAAAAAGACCACAGCCCTACCTTAAAGACCAGGAAAGTCCATATTTTAAAGTAAAATATTTGAGGCGTGCAGCCTCTTCTCTGATTCTCTGCTTTAACCACCTTCTTGCCTTAGCTCTCTCAAATCCAGTCCCAGTCTTCCAAACAAGAGGCTTTCCTTGTGTTGGATTTAATTCACAGTAATCTTGAGAGGTCAGTTTAATTATGTCCATTTTAGGAAAGAGGGAGATGAGGCTTAGAGCAATCAATGTAAACGACTCAAGTCAAATCGTTAGTAACAAACGGCAGAGCGGAGGTCCAGCGTCTGTACTTCTGTGTGCACAGTATCACTGTGTGCAAGGCTGATGTCCAGTCCCCAGAAAGCTCCCTGCGTGCTCACCAGGGAAGGACTCGCTGTGTCCACGCTTCGGTCTGAAGCACCAGTATCTCGCCTTGAGCCCCCCTCCCCCCTTCCTAAAGCTCTCTGATGCCTGGATACAATGATCTATAATCCATCTCTTGGGCAGAGGTGGACTGACACAGTTTGTGAAGAGAAGAAAGACTGGCTTCATGGCCAGCATTGCCCACTTCAGTTTTACAAAGAGAACATCAACTGCCCCTGATGTCAGCGACCCGAGTGACATTCCAAAACCGCCCGGGAAACCCCCATCGACCTGGGCCTCCTCCCGCCCGCTGTCCGGGCAGCGGGCCCTTACCTGCGCCCGTCACGTGGTCAGCTGCTGCCGGTGCGGCTGGAGCCGGGGTCCCAGATCCGCTGTGGTCGCCAGGTGGGATGACTAGGCTCGATTTTCCCAGCCCTGAATTCCTAACGTAGAAGAAGGGGAATGAGAAGGTGAAACAGGATCTGTTCAGGATAACGGGTCAGCACAGAGTGTTGGAAAGAGAGATTCCGGGAGGCGGTGCGGAAATCAAAGTTTAGATGACCGTATTGGGGTGGAGGAGGGAATCGCGCTCGAATTCCGACGAGATTGTTCTCAGTGGTTGTAAGCATCACTCGTGTCCTTTACTTTCCCAAACTGTGCTGAGGTGTCGTTCCCCCTTCCCCTTGCTGTGTTTTCCCCTTATTCTTCCTTCGGCCCGAGTCTCACCCACACTTCGTAAAGCAAGGACTGCATGTCCGAGGCTCTTCCCCTGCACCAAATGAAGGGCTCTGCCCGGCGCGGTTCCCCCATGACGCCACTAGATGGCAGCATCACTCAATGGACGGGTTCCAGGCTTCCCGAGCAGCTGCCGCCGCAAGGCTTTCTTCCCTAATCCGGTTCCAGCAGTATTTAATCTAAGGATGGGACACTGCGTTCCAGGCCAAGCAGCTTCTCTGTGACTGATTGGTGCACCAACAGCTACAGCTTTAACGCTGACTCCCCTTTCTGCTCAACAAACACCATCGGTGCTGAAAGGACCGACTTAAACCCCCAACAAAACTGTGGATTTACTGGTAAAACAAAACAAAACAAAAACCTGGGAATAATTAACTGTACTTGCCAATTTGGAGGCCTCCCTTCCTCCCCTCACCCTCCCTCCCTGGACTTCCCGTAAATCCATTTATCATTAATTATTGTCTGGCCTTGTGTTTGGCAAAGTGGGCAATATGTCCTAAGACAAAAGAAGTCACATTTTCAAAGCTCTCGGAGTTTATTGTTATGCTGAAAAATGTTTACTGGCTATGTCTACGTGCCAAACATTGAAGTAAATATTACATAAACCATCTCGTTTGATTCTTTTTTTTTAATTTAATTGTATTATGTTATGTTAGTCACCATACAGTACATCATTAGTTTTTGATGTTTGTTTTCATATAACAATCTTGTTTGATTCTTACCACAAACCTAAGATAAGTACTCTTATTATGATCCCTGTATTAAGGATGGGGAAACTGAGGCACCGGGAGATGACCTTGTCGAACGTCATGCAGTTAATTGGTGGCAGAGTCAGAATTCAACCACAGGCTAATGTTGGGGCTCAGACTCTTAGCCACGATGCTGTGTGGTGGGCAACTTTGGGAAACACAATTAGGGCACACACAATGTAACCAGAGAAGTAGGTCAGAGTGGAAGGGTGAAAGAAAAACTAGACGGAAAGAAAAGTGATGCTTTTGAGAAAGCAAGAAGGGTGAGGCTAACACAAAGCCCTCTTTGGCCTGGGCCCACCGGGCCCCCATGGTGACCTCTGAGAACGCAATTTCAACGGTGACAGAGAAAGGAAGCCGCTGCACTAACCTCTGGGAAGAGGAAATTGAGATGTCTTGCTGGAAAAAGAAGGCAACAGACTAGAAGAGACAGCAAGGTCAAGCAAAGGCGTTCCGGTGTTCTTGTGTGCCTTTTAGGATAGAATGGAGGCTGGGCGCATTTGAAAGCAGTTGCAAGGGAGACCTGGCTAGTTCAAGTCCTGGAAAGTGGAAGAGGAAGAGGGAAAAAAACAAACAAACCCAGGGGAGGCCAGTCCAGGACACAGGGGCAAGGGTGAGCTCTGAAAAGGAGGGAGAGAGAGGCCCCCCTTTTGTCTGAAACTGGGAGGCAGCCACAGAGGTGGAGATACATTAACACACAAATGAGAAAGATGAGCAAGGTTAATTCTTCCAAATGAACCTTAATCTTCTCAGTAAAACCAGAGCTGGGTTATCTACCAGGAGTGGGAATAAGACTTGGGAGAATATTTTCTTATGGTGAACTAATCCATAGAGTGCTCAGAATGACCAAAAACCAGATAAAATCAAACCAGGCAATGGAGGTGTCTGGAGAAGGGAAATCTGCACCGCAAGTGTGCGGATTCCCTGCCAAATCTCACCCTGGAACCAGGACTGAAATTTACCCACTGCCTGGACAGAAACACAGCTGACACGATGCATGACCCCTTCTGTTTAAAGTTTCTTTTCTATTTGGTTTTTAAAACATTTGACAGATAAATACTGTCTTCCTCGCTTGCCAAAGGGGAAAATTAAAGTGCAGACAAGTTCTCCCTGTTTGGCTTAAAGCCACAGAGAAGATCACGGGCAGAACAAGAATTGGTGCCCAGGAAACTCACTGATGCGACTCCAGCTCTATTAAACACTTCCCACAAAGGGTACAGGCAGAGCTAACAGCCCCAGAGAGTTCCAGACACAGCACAAACTTGGGAAGATTCCACATTAGGACATGATGCCCAACAGAGCTAAGCTTCTCCTAGCGTGGCCTTACGACACAGCACCGTTTTTCTAGGAATTGGAGAGAGGATGTTTCTTTGATAATTTGATTGCAACATATTGATGTACTGATGACACGATGTCCTTCCCACGCCGTCATTATTTAATTTTATTGTTTAACAACTCCACATTCATTCTCAATTAATATTTCCTTATCTGCAAAAGTACATTACTAAGACTGATGTAACTAAAAAAAATCAGAGGATAATTACATGGTCTGCATTACTGATGAAAAGAGCAACAGGCAGAACTAAATCAATCAACAACAGTCCACTTTCCCTTTAGACTTGGGAAATGAGGACCAATCGTCACCAATCTAATGGTTTTAGTCCAGTGTGAGCATTTTCAGAGTTCCCTTCTTCTGTGACGGTGCATTGTCTGGGCAGGAAGCTTGTCTAAAAGGGATGGTTTTCCATTTCCTCCCTCTCATCTTCTTTTAGGAAATCCCTCCAGCTCAGGCCAAACCCCCTCTTGACTTTCACAGGCAAAAAGAAATAAAATCAGCTGCCTGCTCAGTCACAAATTGAGAATAGCCACTTCTGGTCCATCCATTGTTCATTCTTCAAATGTTTATGGAGATCCTACTCTCAACAAGGCACAGTGCTTTCCAGGTGGTACAACACTCGGACTATGCTTTCCAGGAGAACCAACCGAGAGAGGAGTTGAGACCTGGTCTGGTGTGTCTACAGGAATCTTTAAGTGCCATAGACGAGAGCTGACAAGGAGCATGGAGTCAAAGGCCAGTCCATCAGGATGTCCTTTGTAAAGGAAGGAGCATCTCTATCAGGGCTTACCGGAAACAGAGGTTAGCAGAGGGGAGACGGGGAAGAAAGGCATTCTAGGGGGCAGGTGCGGCATGGGTTTGGGAGCCCAGATGAATGACCTGGATGAGCCAGGGAACCTCACACTTTCCAGATTCTTCCAGAAGCCACCTGCAGCAACGGCAGAGTCCAAAGCTGCCTGCTGCAAGCCGACATCCCTTGGGAGGCCCTTATCAAACTTCAGCACTGTTTGCTTCCCACTCTCCTACCTCTTTTGCTTTCATATAAAAGCCATGGTCTTTTTGTCTCAAATCTTTGACTAAAGTAAATTCCATAGGGAGAAGCAACAAGTTCATTCCTCGGCTTCAAATATGCTCTAGCAAAGGGAAGCAGGAGCCTCCTGATACCCAGATGGGGGAAGTGGAGTGAAGTCTCCCCAGTTCGACAACCTCTAAGAGCAGAAAGTTGCTGTCAGCCATTTGCTTGTCTAACCCACCGTGTGGGTGCCCTGCTTCTGTTTTCCTGACTTTAATACTTGACAGGTATTGTTAGTACTGGGATGCAAGAACAAGTTCAAACTCTTCCTTACGTAGCCTGAGAGGATCTCTGAAAATGGTTCTCTACTCACTTAACCCAGAAAACCCTTACCAACCATGCAAATCAAGAGGTTCAAATCTGTGTTTACTTTAGGAATATCCATGAAACAGCCCAGACGATCAAAGGTATGCATATCTGAAAAGCCACCGGGTCTCTGAAAGATGTCACATTACAGAAGCAGTGCATGCCCAGTGCATCATTACAATGGTGGAGGACTCGGGCCAAACAATGGGGCTAGACACAGGGTCAGTGGCCCCAAGAGAGCGCTGAGTTTTTGCAGCACATGCTTAAAAATGCAGAGGGTAATGCTGAATTTAAGAATTTAGATGTTGAGGGGCGCCTGGGTGGCTCAGTCGGTTAAGCGTCTGCCTTCAGTTCAGGTCATGATCTCAGGGTCCTGGGATCGAGCCCTGCGTCGGGCTCTCTGCTCAGTGGGGAGTCTGCTTCTCCCTCTGCCTCTGCCCCTCCCCCCACTCGTTTTCTCTCTCTCTCTCTCTCTCAAATAAATAAATAAAATCTTTAAAAAAAGACTAAACGTACATAAACGTCTTCCAACCTAACTGGTTAAATCTATAGCAATGGAAGAACTGTAGAGTTTAATGGAAGCGGTTGAATACAGAAAGCATTCTGTACAGTCTTACCTGGGCTAGGCCGCGAGCTGCACAGCGAGGCGGGCTTCTCCTCACAGCTCATACCGATGAAAGGTGAATGTAACTAATCCCAGGAACGTCACTCTCCTTTAAACAAGCGTGGGGCCCGCCAAGCTGCATTTTGTCCTTGAATATGAAACATAGAATGAGTTCGAGTTTTATCACAAGAGGGAAATACATAATAAGACCTTTTGAGGCTATCTACCCCCTGATAATTGCTAGAGATACATTTCAGGCCATGCTGTTTTGCAAACTTTGAAGATTCTTACGTTAGTTTCCTACTTTTCCCAAGGGCCCCGTGAGAAAGCTACGTGTACTTACTTGGGAAGGGAATTGGAACAACAGTTAGTACGACGAGAGGCCAAATCCACTCCACCAGTAAGACTGTGCGTCACTTTGTCCCTGCTCTTAACAGCCCAAAGCATTCTTAGGCTATGTGCCATGTTGTCCTCGAAGTCCTGGGGGGCGGGGGGTCATTCTCATGCCTCCTTGACAAGTAGGAAAACCAAGAGGCGGGCAGAGTGAGTGGGGCTTGCCTGGAAGTCTCAAAGCCAGTTGGTGGGACTGGAGACTCCACGTTCGGCTTCCTTTCTGCTTTGACCAGCTAGCCGTTCTGTGGATTTGGCCACTTGCCTCTACAGGCCACTCTTATTCTCTGTGGCCTTCCTTCCAGGAGAACTTCCTTCCCTTCCTCCCGTTCCTTTCTTCTCTCCCCTCTCCCCTACCTTCCTTGTGTCCATTTTCTGTTTGTTGTGGACATTGCTTAGTATATTCCTTCTTCTTAAACTTGGCAGTCTCGGGATTGTATTTACATTTACGGTAGAATCCCACTGAGTGACAAAAGTGTCCGCGTTTTATGACACAATTTCAGACACAATTTTACCAACAGAACAATGCGCCCATGTCCAAAAGTGTTTGAAAATGTGTGCTTCCGTCATTAGAAATCCAGTCTGTTATTGGGACAGTTGACTTCCTTGATAGGATGGCTTCTCTATAGCCCACGAACTTCAATAATCCTGTCTTTGATCCCATGATCCCAGCCTCTCACTACAAGTCCGTCACAGCTAATTGTGCCTTTCCCAGTATTGCTCATTTAATTCCCCCAGAAAACAACAAGAGAAGACAGTTTTATCAACACATGTATATTCAGGAATCAACTCTGTGGGCCTTAGGTCTCCAGCAGCTTCCTCTCTCTCCCACTGATCTCTGTGCCATTAAGAGACTGTACATTAGATTGTCCCCAGAAAGGAAAGGAAAGTAGGTAATAAGCAAATCACCTAATACCCACCTGGATTTTTTTTGGTAGTTTTTTTTTTTTTTTAAAGATCTCCTTTATGGATTTGAGAGAGAGAGAGAGAGACAGACATCATGAGAAGGGGGAAGGGGTAGAGGGAGAAGCAGACTCCCCGCTGAGCAGGGAGCCGGATGTGGGACTTGATCCCAGGACCCTGGAATCATGACCTGAGCCAAAGACACTTAACCGACTGAGCCACCTAGGCACCCTTTTGGGGTAGCTTTTAAGTATTCCTGTTCTCATTCTTTCTCATAATTTCAAGTAAATGAACATTGACCATGGCTTAAAACAATGCAGCAAGTTTTTGATCTTAGAATCCACTGCTATCTCCGTCAAAACTGATACCTATTAGTACAACCGCTTTGGAGGGAAGTTGAGAATATCTATCAAAAGTCCTTGTGCATACGCCCTTTGACATAGTAGTTCTGTTAATAGCCATTTAGCCCCGGGGGCTGTGGTGATTTCGTGCAAATTAGAAAAAGGAACTCCTTCCTTAAGACATTTTATGCTCTCTGGCAGAAAATTATCATAATAAGTACTTAAAGTTATGATGTCTAAAAAGTGACTGTTGCCCACATAGATGAAGTGCTTTGTGCAGTGTACAACCAATGCAACTGTATATGTGAGATCCAGTTACCTTATGAATACATATGCAGGATGACATCAATATATATATGTAAAAAGGTATTTATAGAAACATTATTTGTAATAGCAAAAAATTGTTGCAAATGTCCATCAGCAGGGGACAGGTTAAATAAATATATTAGGGTACCTTTATACAATGGAATACTAGGGAGCAGTATAAAAAAATAGAGTAGGCCTATGTATGCTGATTCAAAGAGATATTTGAGGTATATTATTAAGTGAAAAAAGTAAGGTACAGAGAATATATTAATAATTCAATGTATGTGAATGTCTTTTGAGAAAAAATTGGCTGTATCAGCAATTTTTTCTCAAAAGACATTTTTTTCTCAAAATACATTCAAGAAATCATTAACAGGAGTCTTCTAGGAGAAGAGTAACCGGGCAAGAGAGAAAGCTTTTAGTTCAAATGTATACTTTTCTGCATTGTTTGAATTTTCTTACCAAAAGCATTTATTACTTTCAGTTTAAAAAAGCAACAGGGATAATCAGACTAGAAAGTTACTAATCTTTTTTTTCTTGCATTTTTAACCATCAAAGAAATCTAAAAAAATTTTTTTTACATTTTTTTAAAATTGGAGTTAGTTAACATACAGTGTAGTACTGGTTTCAGGAGTAGAATTTAGGGATTCATCCCTTACATATAACACTGGGTGCTATCCCAACAAGTGCCCTCCTTAGCCCTCCAGCAACCCTCAGTTTGTTTTCTATATTTAAGAGTCTTATGGTTTGCCTCCCTCTCTGTTTTTATCTTATTTTAAGAAATGTTTTTTAATTGCTGTGCACATCTCCCTACAGAATACATTAAAAAAATAAACTGCGGTTTCTTGGATTTTGGTTGTTTGGGAGGTTTTTTCTTTGTTGTTGTTGTTGGTGGTGGTGGTAGTGTTTTTTTTTTATTGTAGTTGTTGTTTTTTGGTTTTGTTTGCTTCTAGCAAAGGGGCTGAGGAGGGGAAGGAGGAAGGCTGGTGGAGAAGCAGGGAAACAGAGTCCTCTCCGTGCCCTTGCTCTCTAAGGGCCCTTCCACCTTTCAGTTGTTTGAAATTTGTTTCTATTAGACAACTAATATATTTAATCATAGAACAAGAGTATCATGAATCTCATCTTCTTTTATTGATTCAGGTCCAGTTGAGTGTAAACTCAGTGCTTCCAGAGTTGCCCAGGGATCTGTTAGAAAGCTACTCATCATGTGCTTCCTTCATCATATGGGACTAAGTGGGGGTAGAATAATGAGATTAACTGTCTTTCTCTCTTTGGTTTTGATCCCTAGAGAAAAGAGAATTCTAGGTTTCTATTTGTTCCTGAAATTTTAAACCTATTAGAATAAAAGTAAAGCTGAATTCATTGTCACAAATTTTATGTTAAGAATCTACTCCCCCAAATGAATATTGATTTAGGCTGCACATACATTATTCTTAAAAAAAAAAAAGAGGATGAAAAGGAAGATTTTGTCTTTGATGAGCAGAAATAACATTTAATATAATTAAGTAACATAGCAATCTCAAATCTAACAATACAGTGACTTTGATATCTTAAAAAAAAAAGAACTATTTGTATTTCTTAAGGAAAAAATTCCTTTCAGGAACAGATGTAGGAGGAGAGCACACTGAAATGTTATAAATTTTACAGAATATTTCTTACTTTGGGGCTTTGTATTTTGAATCATGCATTTGTTCCAGTGTCAAGGGTACCAGACCTTGATTCTGATTACAAGTTATACATATTTTGATGATAAGTTACACACGTTCTTGTTTCTCTACACGTTGGGAAATAGGTTTTAAATACTGAGCTGATTCCAGGGCAAGGTCTTCTCTTATTACTGATGTAAGAAATACCCTTTTATACCTTGCTGAGTTTCTGTTTGGAGATTGATTATTTAGAGCCCCAGTAATTATTTGTTTACCATGTTTGCCTTGGTTGCCCTGTGTCACTAACCAAGTATTTATTCATTCAATAAATATTGAGATTTATTGAGAGTCTCCTCAGTGCCAGGCTCTCAGCCCAACGCTAGTGCATAAGGGAATGTAAAGGTAACTATACAGATAAAAATATATGATCCCTGCCCTCAGAGAGGTCACAAGCTGCCAGGCCATGGGCTCTTATGTCCAATGTCCATTATGATGTTTGTTCAGTACAATCAGGGCCAGGGCTAAAGGAAGGGGAGAGAGATGTGGGTCAAAATTTTGGGAGACTCTCCCTCTCGGGTGTATGCAGATGCAGTTGGGCACCTGAGAGGGAGGGCCTCAGCAAATTTTGAGCTCTAGGGCTCCTGGTTTCACCCTTGTCTGGCCTGCCAGCCCTATAGCCTGGCCACCTGGCCGCCTGACCTTCCCACATGGCCTCCTGACCTTCCCACCTGGCCGCCTGGCCCTCCCACCTGGCCGCCTGACCTTCCCATCTGGCCGCCTGACCTTCCCACATAGCCGCCTCTTCTCTTCCGCTGCCCTTCTCCCAACTTACTGACACAGTCGCCCTCAACTCAGCTCATTTCACCTCCCTGAACATGTCTACCCTCAGGGTCTGTTTTTCATGCCTAGTGCTCTGCAACCCTTCCTCTAAGCCATCCCGGTCTGGTTCAAAGCCCACACGGAAAGTCTGCCCCAGACCCAAGAACCTGATACATTTCTTCCCACGCACGTGCACTCCCACTATGGCCTTTATCACTGACCACTTTCTATTCCAATTATTACATAGGAACCCACCTCCCCAACCCTGGGTTGTGAGCCTTTGTGGAGTGTCACTCCAAACCTGTGGCACCTTGCACAGTGTTTACACAGGGTGGGTTAGGCCCTAGTCCCCTCAGGCAGCTAGAACAGGTGACCACAGACTTGGGGGGGGAGGTGCTTAACAACAAACATACATTTTGCACAATTCTGGAGGCTGGAAGTCCAAGATCAAGGCGCCAGGGGATGCAGTGTCTGGTGAGGGCTGGCTTCCTGGTTTGCGGACGGCTGTCTTGCGGTGTGCTCACATAGGGGAAGGCAGAGGGAGCGCGCTCCGGCCTGTCTCTTCTTGCAAAGGCGCGAATCCTAATTCTGACCGCTCCGCTCTCAGGACCTCATCACCTCCCAAAGGCATTTAGGGATAGGGTTTCAACGTAGGAATTCTGGGGGGTAGGGGGGCGGAACACAAACACTCAGTCCATAGCGTGGGCTTTTAACAAATGATTCCCCCATTTATCTGAATCTTTACAATCTTCAGCACGTTTTTTGGTGTTTCTTTTACTTTAACAAAAGCCAGCATTGGTTGGAGGCATTCATGATACTCAAATTTAACTCTACAGAAGCAAAATAGGAATTACAATGAGTTCATTTGCTTAAAAAAAAAAAAGGCTTTTTTTTTTTGGTATTTCCCAGGAGCTAATCAAACGCAACAGTAGCTTAAGTAAATGGACATTTAATTTTTTTTAAAGATTTTATTTATTTATTTGACAGAGAGAGACACAGCGAGAGAGGAAACACAAGCAGGGGAGTGGGGGAGGGAGAAGCAGGCTTTCCGCTGAGCAGGGAGCCCGATGCGGGGCTCGATCCCAGGACCCTGGGATCATGACCTGAGCTGAAGGCAGATGCTTAACGACTGAGCCACCCCGGCGCCCAGACGTTTGATTTAGCGCTAATTTCATTTGTGTGTAGGGAGGCCTGGGGCGGCGGGGGGCGGGGGGGGAGAGTACTTACATTGTTATGACAATAGGCTTTCTCTTCACCGCCTGCAAGATAGTCACTGGGTAAAGACCTACACAGCCACTCCTTGGGCAACAGCGCTTCTGAATGGCTTCTGATAGTGGATTACACTGGGCACCTGGCTCAAGTCGGGCAACTCGATGACAGCAAGATCTTCTCTTTACTGAGCATGATAGTGTGGCGTAGGATAGAACTGGACATGGCCAATTTTATAAGCAGCGTTCCCCATGTATTACTAAGGCACACCACTTCATCAGGGTAGGAAACTGTAACCCTCCACACACACACACACACACACACACACACACACACACAGTGGTCATCTAAGTGTACAGATATGATGGTGTCCTGGAGGAGTTAGTGGCCTGGGACCCTTAGCATAATTTTACTCGTGGCATTTGCTTTATACAAGGCCGTGGAAGAGATTCTCTATCAAAACTAACCCAGTATCAACCCCACCCTGAGCATCTGTGAAATCCATTTTGGAACTTATTTAATGGCTGAAGTTTGAATTTGCCCAATCATTGGAACTAGGGAGTAGCCATTCCCCTTTCTTGCTGTTTCCTAGAAAGGACTTGTATGCGTGTGTGATTTGACAAAGCAGCTTAGAGTTATAGCAACTCTGGTAAAATATTTCAAGTAAACAAATTCAAAATACTGAATGGAAAATCCTCATCTTTCTTGGAAGATTTTAGCAAAGCCCTTTGTGATGTGTCTCTTCTACTTCCTCTTTGCACATGCAGGCATCACCCTCCTCTACCTCAAACGTGTAAAAATCAGAATGAGCACCGCATGCTAAATATAGAACACAGCAGGGTTTTCTGGCCCACGGTGACTTTACTGCTACAATCCAAATAGTTACTATCAACCAGGAACATTTCAAACTTGGAAGTCCTGGCAAACATTCAGGAGATGTGACTTGAAAGGCAGCGATGTTGTAGCTGGAGGGTAAATGAAGAGAAACTCACACTGCTCAGTGTCTGGGCTTCTGGATAGCTGGGCAAATACTGAAATTCTGTCAGATCAATGAGATTTTAAAATTAGTTAATGGGGAGTTAGTTGTGTTAAAGGAAATATAAATGAAGAATCATCGATTCTTATCTGCTTCTAAGTTTTGACTTTAGGGCTTTCTAAAAGTACAGAGGTTCCACAAAAAATAAAAACAGAATGACTATATGATCCAACAATTTCATATCTGGGTATTTATCTGAAGGAAAAAGGAAACCCTGCCATTTGCAACAACATGGATGGACCTTAAGGCCATGATGCCAAGTAAAAAAAAAATCAGACAGAGAAAGACAAATACTGTATCCTTTTGCTTCTATGCAGAATCTGAAAAAATAGACTCATAGAAACAGAGACAGAGTGGTGGTTGCCAGAGGTGGGGGGGGGGAGGCTAGGGAAAACAGGTGAAGGTAGTGAAAAAAAGAGCATTTTATGATTCATGAAAATTATAAGAAACTCAAATTTCAGTGTCCACAAATAAAGTTGGATTGGAACACCAAATAATCAATCAAGCCAGGTAGCCAGGCAGCCAGGCAGCCAGCTAGATTCCCTAAATACAGACCTGGACCACAGAGAAAGTGATGAAGGGGTATCCGTACAGATGTTACTCATTTGAACCGGTAATGGTAGAAAGAAGAATGGCTCACCCTCTGTCTTGGATGTTGTCTCTGCCACCACACATTCTATTATTCTTTGCCTCAGTGGGTTCAGAACCCAAAGTTAGGATTATCATGAAATTACCAGATTGAGAGTGAATGCCGGGTACAGATCAACTGCCACCACATAACGCATCCCAACTGTTGCTAATTTGTTCTTGGAAATCTCCTACAAAGAAGGTTTGCAAAAATTCCAGAATTGCCTTGCTTCAACCTTGAGCATGTGTTTCTTTGTAATATTGTCCCTTCATTGGTTTGGGTTGAGTGAACAATTTTGAGGAAAATTTCTGAATGCACACCTTGGACATAATGTGATTTATATGCATTCGTATACCATACAGATGAAAGATGAAGCCTCTGCTGTTGAGAAGTTTTTTATAGATTCAAGAATCAAAATGAATTTCTCTGACTTCATTCTCTGTGCACTTCACATTATCCCTCAACGTGACTCCAACTAATCCTCCAGAATCTCCCAGAACTTTTCAAGATCAAGTTCAGGATCCTCATACTGATGACCAAAACTTTCCAGGCTCTGCCCCATTTTATCTCTCCAAACTTACCTCCATGGCCTGTTTTCCGCACTCATTCCATCTCCCCCCAGACCTACTCCTGCTCTGGGCAGCCCAGGGGTCTCCCCATTGCGCTAATCGCATTTGTTTGGTTCAACCTCCCTGTCGTGGTTCATTCATTAAAGATCATCATCACAATGGCACCAGTCAACAAGGCTTTATGTAAGAGATGGTTCTAGAGGATGAAAGCCGATTTTAAAGATTTCCTGTGGTGTCCTGAGCTAATTAGCTTCTGTCTCTTCACTTTAGACATGCTCATTTTTATCCAGATAGTATACTTCTGTATGTAGTAAAACTTAATTGACGCTCATAATTTGGAACTTACGGAGACAAGGGTGAATCTGAAGTTTGACTTTTACCATTGACAAATAGCAGCAATTAATATACAAGCAAATTTAATGGGAGGGGGTTAAATATCTTAAAAGCTCAAATATTTTTTGAGCACCTTCAAGTATGTCTGGTATACCCTTTACCAAAAAACAACCGGTGTACTATTAAGAAACAAATCTTACCTATTTATTAAAGCAAGATTCATAAGATAATCTGCTAAGACTTTTATTACCTTCATTGAAGTATACCGTAAGTACTTATTTTTTTTTTAAGATTTTATTTATTTGACAGAGAGTGACACAGAGAGAGAGGGAACGGCAAGCAGGGGGAGTGGGAGAGGGAGAAGCAGGCTTCCCGCCGAGCAGGAGGGCTCATGACCTGAGACGAATGCAGACGCTTAACGACTGAGCCACCCAGGCGCCCCACATTGCATAATTCTAAGTAATCAAAATCCATTTCCTTTACATTTTTTTAATTGAACTTTTTCCTCTAATTCAGATCCCCTTCAATTTAGTGCAAAATGAATAAAATTTTATTCATTTGGAGATCATTAAAATAATTCTCTATACCTAATTCCTGGCTCTAAAATTTTCTGTGTGACCTTGGGCCAGTTATTTTAGTAGCTGTAAAGCTCAGGTTGATCATTCATGAAATAGAAAAAATAATACCTCTTGTGAGATTTGTGAGGATTACATGTGAAGACATGTGGTGTAGAGCCAGGCCAGTGGCAAACACAGTAAACACTGGTTCCTTTTTCCATGAGTCTTTTGTTTTTTCACTGTGCATTTTAGTGATTCTTAAAGGATGACCTGTGTGTAGTTTTGGATTGATCTGTGGGCATAAATGAATTACTTTTGCAAATCCCAAATTCCCTTATTAGCATTTCATTAAAATAAATACAACTTTTCTCCATTTGTTCTGCTAAGTGTTTTTGATAGGACTAAGAAGGTCTGGTCATTGATGTATCCCTTATCGATAGGCCACATAAATTAGGAATGCTTTTAGCTGTAAGTAACGCTATATCCAATCCTCTGTGTCTGGAACAAACAAGGGTTATTTTTGTTTCATTTTGTTTGTTTTGCATAACACAAACATTCAGATAGGGGTTATTAGCATTGGTTCAGTGGTTAAGATGTGCCATCAAGGACCTCAGTCCATTTCATTTTTGTACTTACTCTGCCATTGTCATTACACCAGTCCTTCATCTGCTCGTCTGGGCCTGTGACCACATCTCCACGTATCATTCCGCATCCAAGGTTGGATGAATGGGAAAGAGTGGCACCAGCCACATCTTTCTTTTCATCAGAGAAACAAAATCCTTACCAGAAGAGCCTCAGCATACTTCCTCTATCTATTTTTGGCCCAAACTAGTCACACGGACACTTCTTTCAACTGCAACAGAGGCAAGAAAGTCAAGTATCTGGAAAGGAAAGATGGATTACATAATTTTCTTAGGCCAAAAAATAAATCATCAACAGGACCAAGGCAGATCATCCCCAGGAACAACATCAAGAATTTTTTTAGCAAAGAAGGAGAGGGGTAGATATGACATTGGTAACAGGGTCTGATGCGTGGTCATGTGTAGGGCTGTGAAGCGTTGCTCCCTGCCTTTTGTTACCCATATCTTTCGTCAGGTATAGACCTCTCAGACACATCTAATCATTAAGATGAAACTTGTATAAATCTCAAACTTTTGCTATGTTTGCTTTATCTATTAAAAAAAAACACAATTCCTTAAAGGGAGAAAGCTGGATTAGATGATTTCTTGGGATTTCTCACAGATCTGAGACCTAGGATTCAAAATTCCATAAAAGAACTGTAAGTGTATTGTGTATGCTTCTTATATAAGAATACTT